CTGTCACTACAGCTGAGTGATGCTGAAAGTACGACAAGAACAGGAATGTTACAAGAATAAACCTCTCAAGAAAGTGCAGAGCTTCAAAGGACATGTATGTGTATGTGGCTTCATAACCTCTGCTTGAAAAAGTCCAGTTGTTCTGGTTGAAATCCATGGTAATAAAATCCAACCAGATGATGAACTGTTGAACAGTTGAACAGTTGAACATCACTGGTTGCAGCTAAGAGACTCTCTTTAACTGGTTCACCCTTTATATTCTCTGGAACTGGGTGTAGAGTACAAATTACAGTAAGTTGAGCAAGTTAGCAGAAAGCTCACTAGCTAAACACTCTGACAATAAAAGACAGACTTCAAATTTAAGCCCTCATAGAAAGACTTACCTAAAAATGAAGACATGCAAAGAATGTTTCTTAAATGCCTGTTACAAACTTAAAATGTCTTTACTATAATGAACATTACATATAAAACTCTGAAGGCATGTGTAGGTTCAAATGGTAGTTTATTGGATAGTAAATAAAATGGCTATATTTGTGTTGTAGACACCGCTGCCTTGACACATCAAATCACTGATCACACCCTGATTTGTCTGATCCTGGATGAACTTTACACAAGTGAGCTGAGTGGTGACCAGTCAGGTTGTGGATGTGGCGTGATAACCATGGTATCACGCCCCTAGTCTAGCTATGCACTGAGATTCAGTAATGGAGCGCACATCCATTGGGAGAGATAATGGTGGAAAAAACATCTGATGTATTCAGAACTTAGGACATTATTGCAAAGTTTAAAAAACAACATTAGGCCGCTGTTGGGCTCAGAAATTGCTTACAGCTTTGCATACACTTTCACTCTGAACGAAATGAGAGACCTGGCCATGAAACAGTTGGCCAAGGAAGCAATACGGCTCACTGTAGTGAAAGCACAGTGTTGTCTCAAAGGGCAATTCCACCAATTTTTCAAAATTTATGAATCCTTCAGTTGTTGAGTTGTAAACAAAGTCATACAGTTTTCATTTAAAATGGTAGTGATAGAAACCAAAGGTTGCAATGTCTACAATGCAAATATAGCCATTTAAATTACTATCTAAAACAACCACTGAATGTGTCTTCTGCCTACATGTGTCTTCAGATTTTTAATATGTAATGTTGATAATGGTAAAATATTAGTAAATCTGGAAAAAAAAAATGTTTTTTTTAAGACTATGTATGTAAAAATATGTTTTAGGCCAAAAGTTTTTTTTGTGAAATGATGTCCCTGACATCAGACAACATATTCAGAACCATCATATGTCGTAGCTTTCATAGCTGTGAAGTTTCTATAGAGTGGTGCATTTGGCATCAATTTTTTTTTTAATAATGCAAGAATGTTTGAAAATTAAGTGTAATTCCCAACTCCACCCAAAATACCTCCACCCTAAACTGTATTAATTCTATTAACATTCAGTTCTTTTAGTTTTAAACAAATTTTTTGCAGGTGCAGATAAATTTCCTGAGATGTTCACTGGGTGTTGGAATGAATCAAGGCACATATGATCCAAAAAACAAGTAATTTTGGTAAAGAACAGCATCCTTTCCATTGCTATAGTGGTAATTAACTCTATTTGGGCAAAGGCTATCTGGACAAATCGTTAAATAGTTTGTTATTTTTATTGCAAAATTTACTGCAAAAGCTTAATATACTGCAATGTGACTTTTTCATAATATTTTTCTAATGCCAGATGGATGCCATCATCATTAAAGTACTGACTTCCATAAAGGTTAATCTCTTAACTTCATAAAGAGAGCATAGTGAATGTAATATAATCAAACTATAAGAGGTGAATCCATCAGGATTTTAAATGACATCAATCATCAATAGATCACTGTAGCATTACTATATTTATTACTTGAATTTCATTTCATTATACCTGACCAGCAGAGGGCGGTTCTTGCACAGGGATCACCATAAAAGCCACAAGGTCATGAAGAAATTGGATGCATCTAGGTGTCAGTGCTGGAGTGTTTGTATAAGGAACAGTGGTGAATGAATGAAAGGCTGTTTCTGTAAATGTCCAGGAAAAGTACTTCATTAATTGCCCAGAAGAATGACACACTAAAGTCATATGTTAAAAAATAATAAAAATCTGTGTTGAATAATAATTTGTTAAATATTTAAATGCATTTTTGTTATGCCCAAGAAACTGATAAAATTGGCATAGGAGCATCCCTAAACCTCAGTGCTCTTTAAAAATGCGAAGAACGATGAATGTGAACGATGCAAATTGTAAATGCTGCTCTGCTGCCCTGATTCTAAACCCAGCCCCTTCCCATCAGTACTCTGCATCCTCTGTTACAAATTGAGGGGCAGCAGAAACAAAAACAAGCTTAATAATTCGAAAAATTCTGTCTTTGTCACTCCATCACCAGTCACTCACTCAGATTTGAGTCTTCATTCTCTAAACTTGCTTCGGTGCAGCATCATTGACTTGTAATTGCTGGCGGTTTAGTCTTCTTGCTAAGCTAATGTTAGCCTCTGATGCTACAAGGGCATAAAAAAGTAAAAAGTAGAAAAGTAGCTTAAGCTAAAATCTTTACAGACAAAAACACACGTTAATCCCCTCAGATCTGAGTTTTTACTCCCCAAACTTGCGTCAGTGTGGCTTCAGTGAAACGCAATGAACCTGCGTGATTGTGTGTAAAGCCTTCTCTCTAAGCAAATGCTAACTTCTCGCGAACGTGGTCAAACATGGAGCAAAAGGACCTTCGGCTAACAGCTCCACACAAAAACACAGGTTTATTTGCTCTGATTTGAGTCTATATTCTCAAAGCAACAGTGAGGCTTCAGTGAGCCAGAATGAACTTATGCTTTGTTGAAATTGTAGCATGCTAAGCTACTGCAATAGCATGCTGCCTACTCTTAGAACAGTGTCAGATGCTGGTGAGAGGTGGCATGAGGCCAGCGTCCAAGCCCCAGGGACCAACTAGAGCCTTGGGAAGCAGCATGAGTCCCGTGATTGACTCCCTGGCACAGGCTCCCAGGCCTAAACCTCACGTTTGCAGCGTGGCTGCAGGACCATGCCTCACGTTCGACCTTGGCAGAGTTGGACATGATGGCTGCCCTTAAGGAGAGCGAGCTGACACTGGCTTTGTGTTGACAGTGTGTCTTGACGCTTGGAGCACATTAGGATATTTCAGTATATTGGACCATGATAGGTTCAAGCTCATGCGTGATGTACAGAACTATACTGCTACTCCATGAATCACTTTTTTCAGATGTACTAAGAAAACTTGTTTTAAATGGAAAAATGTGGACTAAAATACTTAACCAATTATAAAAAAATCATATTTTTGAGTACAGGGGGCCTTTAACAATGTCTTTCACAGTAGTAGATCTCTTTGGTACCATGCATATAAACATACATTTTACAGTAATAAAGGAATAATTTGCATTAGTAGCATTAACACAACAGTTGCAAAAAGACCATGCACCCAACCAAGGCAAAAATCGCCAAAAAAAAAAGTGATTAGTGTTTCAGACTTCCACTGAATACAGCCTACAAAAGCATGTCTGCCTCTGTCAAAAAATGAATTAATTTTTTTTTACAAAACTATAGTCAGAAAAAGGTACTACACAACTTAGTAAGACCAGCTATAAGATAACATGGTGCATGTCTGAATCTTAAACCTCAGTAGGGTCAGTAATCTAGAGTCAGTAATTATTGTAACGATTTTGTCTGATATTTGTCTGTGAAAACTGCTGTTTGATATGCTGGAGGGTAGAAAAAATGAATTTCAATTTATAAATCATATTTATAACAGCTATAAGCAGTGATCATGCACCAGAAACAGCGATTCAAAACTCTTCATCAAATTCAGTGCACTGCCATTAGCCAATCAGCAGCACAAAAAGACACTAGCTCAGGGCAGTGGAGAAAACACCCTATCAATCATGTGGTTGTTGCTAGGCAAAATTAACAAATTGCTTTAAAACCATTGGCAACGTTTCCTCCAATCCAAAGCTTCTGGTGCCAGCTTTAGTAAACATGGCTAAGAGAACATAGACTGCTTATACAGTTGAGGCTATACTTATAAATCCAACTGGGAGAAATTTTCTTGAAAAATTATATGTTAAGCATTAGAATGGAGGAACTTACATAGACAATGGTTATGAAGTCAGGCAAGGGTGCTGTGGAAGCATGAAATTTCAGTAGGGCATAAGTGACACAATGCTAATAGGGCAAGGCATCTGAGTCTGGTATGAGACTGGGCCACTGTGTTAGAGTGATGAATGACTGCACCGCCCTCCTAGTTGGCAAAACCATGCCACACCACTGTAATTGAGTAATCAGAGTTTTATCACTGAGCTACTAAACTGTTGTGAACCATACATGGCTGTTCAAAGATTCCAAGATACCCCACTGGAATAAGATTATATATATGTATATATGCTATTTTTTATTTCATTTTTAATCAGATTTTTGTAGGTTCCTGGTTCATATATCTATTTATCAGTAGGAGAATATTTTAAATATGCTTTGTCATCATACAAACTGTCTGCCAACTAATCACTCACTGTTTATTGAGCTTGTTATTTTTAATTGATTTAATGTTTAATTAAGAAATCATGACAGCAAGGTCCCAATAGCCCATTAGCCTTGAAAGAATAAGCAAACTACTCAACAGCAAATAATTAGACCCTCCAAACAGACAGGGGCTTATGAACCTGACTACCTGTTCTTCAGGTCAGTGCCTGCATCTTTGTCAACAGTGTGGAATCCTTTATCCAAACTCCATTTTAATGGCAGCGTTTTATTTTCAATGTTCTCCTGACGCAGATGCTATCATCTTTATGTCGGTATCCATAGTGTTCAGTCAGAATGATTCTACACAGACATTAGCCATCAGCATTGCTTTCTCAGTGAGATGGCTGCCTCCCAGTAAAAGCTATTGCTGTCGTATTGAGCATGATTGCATGCGCGTGTGAAGTGTGTGACTCTTCTGCTCTCTCCTTGTGGCTGTAAGACAGGCTGTGGGATGTATGCTGGGCAGATGGAGTTCACTGGAACCGAGGAGCTGACCGATGAGGAGAAGGAAATCATCAACCGCGTGCTGGCCCGTGCTGAGCTTATGGAGGCCATGGAGCAGGAGCGGATTGGGTGAGATGTACTGATGGGTGGAAGCTGACCCCCTTTTTTTACCAGTACAGCACTAGCTCCCCCCACCTTAAAGTGATAATTTGGTGAAAAATCAAATGGTGTCCAAAATGTGCTTCTGTAGTTTTGCAGTGACTGCGAGGATAATGGAGCATACAAACCACTTACTAGCATTGTGCGAAACTGGATGCCTAAATCATTACATACTTGCTTTAAACCACCTCAAGTTGTTCAGTAATCTCAAATAGAAGTGCGTTTTGTGGTTTCTGACACTGTATGTTATCTACAGTACATATGTAAGGACATATGTATGTACCTTGCATAACTTAAAGTAGTAACAGCCTTCTTGAATCATCACGAAGCCCGAATTAGGTCCAGTTTTATAGGTAACATTATATCATACAGTGTTAGAAACATAAATAAGTCTATTCCAGATTACTTATATGGGGATTTTTGGTCTAAAACTAGCATTTAATTTACTGTCATAGATAGATAGATGGATAGACAGATGGACAGACAGACAGACAGACAGACAGACAGGTAGACAGATAGATAGATAGATAGATAGATAGATAGATAGATAGATAGATAGATAGATACTTTATTGATCCCGAAGGAAATTCAGCAATTTCCCAACAATTACCTAACAATCATGTTAGGTAATAACCTCTAGCACAGCCTTGCATCCTCACAGCCTCACTGATTTGACAGAATTCACTTTTTTATCCTTTTTTTTATTATTATTGTTCATCAGTATTAGATAAAGATATGCATTAATAAAAAATCCTAATTTCTAGCAAAGCTGCTAATGTAGAATCTAATAATTACAGACATAATATTTGGCTTTTTAGCACAAATATTAGCTGTCTGACTTCAGTTGCGGTTTCTTAAAAATGACTGCCGCCTTTAAGATATGTCATCAGAAGGGGGTTTTCCTAGTCTTTATACTGGAAAATCTTGCTCATGAGTCTTGCTCCTTTTAACACTTTGTCACAGTTTGCACAATACTAACTGTTAAACATAATTTTCCATTACATGTTAGCTGCATAAGTCTTAAAGTTCCAGTGCAAAACAAGAATAGTAAACTTCAGAGACAAAGCATGTCTTGGCCGACAGACTCTGTTTGGGGTAAGGGGAAATGTGTACATTTTAATTTTCCATTAAACTGTCCCTTTAAGCCAACAAACCAACGAAATCAGTTTTAGAAGGAAGAGCAAAAGAGAGCAGATGGAAATATGGGTTCATTCACACCTTTATTCTCAAGTGGCTGAGGCGGCAGCGAAACATTCCATGGAGTGATTCAGCACAAGCACATCTGTCTAAGTGCTTCAGCATGCTAGTGCATTCACGCTCCATTACAGCCAATGAAGAGTCAGCGGCGGAATGCTCTGCAAGGCATTAACGGTGCAAGTTAAACAACAGCTTTGCATCTGTCTCTCTCTCTCTCTCTTGCTTTCTGTCCCCCATCCCCCTCTCCTGCGCCTTCAATGTGCTGATGACCACCCCCCCACCACCCACCCTGACCTCAGCACTTGGCTTGCAAAGTGTGTAAACTCTCGGTTCCTCTTATCAATCGTGTTTTAACAGGGGTGTTTCAGGGTTCAACTGAAAGAAGGTGTTCTGAGCCTGTCCTCTGCTGTTTCACATCCCACAGGCAGCTGGTCAATCGGCTGGACAGGATAAAGCAGACGGCCTGCGGTGACGGCCACTCACGCTGCCTGCTCTGTGGCCAGCAGTTTGGCCTGATGGGAGTCAGCTCGGTCATGTGTGAGGAGTGCAAGAAGGTAGATGTGCGTTCTGCCAGCTTGAAAGCTTCAGGGACTTGCTAATAATTAAGTCTGAATACATTCTTTTTATTGGGTTATTGGGCAAATTCTATATTCCAAAAAGTCATATGTCACGTGACTGTTGTTAGAAATTGCTGCCAAGTTCATTTTTTCATGGCTACAGTTTATCCACACTTGGATGGACACATCCAGCATGAAAATGCACCATGTCACAAGGCATGTATCATCACAGAATGGTTTCAAGAACATGACAGCAGCATACTGGCAGCGTAGGCACTAGTAGCTGAAATTATCTAATTAGAGAGGGTATCTGGATACTTTTGGACATAGTGTATGTTTTGGACTGAGTGTATGTTTTCATCAAACAAGTATAGCGTTAACTTTACAAGAGAAGGCAAAAATGTTCATAACTTTAAATATAAATGAATGTAAAGAGATTTTATTTGAAGCATTCATCATGTGTGTATATATATTTGTATATTTAGATATTTAGAATACATATACGCCCATAAAGGTGTAGTTATACCACTGCATGAAAGCAGGTTTTCATTGCAATTTTCAACTCGATCAAGCATTTATAGGATGAGGTAGAACACATGACACACATTTAGCATCTTATAAAATCCTTTCCCAGGCAAATTCATGCTGTTCTGAAGGTTTTAGGGGTTGCGCAACATGCTACTAGACAACCTAATAAACTAACAACTCCATGCAGCTATTTTGGTGCGCAAAGCAAAGATCCCATGTGGCTTGTGCATAACAGACTTTCACAAAGGCTACGTTCACGTTACAAGCCTCATAGCTCAATTCCAGTTTTTTGCTCAGATCCAATCTTTCTGCTTTGATGGTTTGTAAGTGCCTGTATCTGTCAATGGTGTGAAAACACTTCTGCCCTGAAAGAACCTGCATGCATTTTCAAAATCAATAATGTCATATGTGTGATCCACATATTTCATGCACAACAACAAAAAACAGTTGTTTTGAACAATACTCAATTTTTTATTAGGTTCCCTCCAGTTTATTGCCTCATTTCCCCAGATTCAGCTTTTTCACTGTCCCTCCACTAACTGTCTTTTTCTTTCAGGTTAGCCGCTGCTGACATGCTGCCCACTCTGGAGGATGAGCACAATGAACTGTGAATGTGCAGTGAAGTGTGAAGTTAAAAAAAAAAAAAAACACATTAATTCTGATCTGGCCATTCTCATTATGGTCGCATGGTCATGTCTCAGATAGACATCCAATTTATGACCACATATGAAGGCTACATTCACATTAGCAGGTTGAAATGGCACAAATATGATTTTTCTGTGTTAATGTGACACAGATCTGATGTTTACAGATTGTTAACACAATCAGATCTTTTCATTTTAGAACCAGTTTTATATATGGTCCTAGATCAAGTATATATCTGATTTGTCACCATATGACATTATTAAGAACAGTCAGATCAGAATTCATGTGTATTTTTCCTGCATGCTGCACCACATGTAATGCTCTTCTGTGTTAATCAGTGTAGCACATGGCCATTCGTGTCATACGAAGCCACAGCGGTAATGTGTGTGTGAAGCACAAAATATGCTTTGTGTCTATTTTTGTGTCTACAATTGCCAGAAATGGCATGCTAGCAAATTCTAGTTATAAAAACCATTCAAGATTTGGGATTCTTGCTATATGTCCATAATCAAAACAGCAGACAACTATATGGGTCTTTCTACCACTGTAATGGAGCCTGTAATATTGAATTGAGCTTTTTTACAATAGTCCACTGCTACTTTAGTTTATTTAAATTTTAAAATAATTTATGACATAAACTTTTTGTGACACATGACGCTGCCAGTATTTTACCCAAATTTATCAGAAATATGGAGAAAGGTTTCATGTTTTACTAACCCTGGACTTCTCACAGTTAGTTTTTCTTCCTAAGATATCCATACAAGAAGTAGTTCAAACAGACCTTCCTGTTTTTATTTTTTTCAAAATGACATTTTATGTTTCTATAAATAATTTTAACATTAAAAAGACAACAATTATAGTGCTTTTTACAAGTGAAACTGAAAAACAGGCATTGAAATTGTTGTTTCACATAAAAATAGTATCTGCTGCTTTTCATGCACTACATTACTGAAAATCACTAAAACAAAAATTCAAAAAGAAGAATTATCGTCATTTTTGTTGGTTAATTTAGGAATAGAAGAATGAATATATTGGGATTTTGGGACATGATGTGCCACCGCAATGGTAGAATGACCCATTTTGTGCTGTAGAAGCAGCACTACACTAGTACAAACTTTGAGAAAGTTCTAGACTGATGTAGGACTGATGAGGGAAACGACTGACTGAGCTAATCAAAAGTCCTTTCAAACAGTTCACAGCTAAAACCTGTGCTCAAATGTCATCTACATTAAGCTGGAATGGAATAAAGGCATCTAGAGGTCAACTTATTCATCAGTGGAAAACCAAATAGCAAGTGTCGAAGATCAGTGTAGCACATGGCTTCTGGTGTAAAATTGCCTTGATTGGTGCTTTCTGTCTGTTAAAAACTGCAAAATCATGAATGTATCTTGCCTTTTTTCCTGCTACCCTAATCTAAGTGAATACCTAAGAGCGTTTCAGAGCTAGTGATCTTCGCGAGGAAAGCTTGTGCTGCTAGTGTGTTCATTTGCTACTGCTGTTGTTGGTGTGGTTCATGATGCATGTAGATCATTCACGTGATCATTTGGGGCACATGGTTCCTTCACTCTAAACACAAATATGGGTCACTTACACAAACGAATGTGAACCACTGAGGCACACAGATTGGATCTGTGCAGAAAATTGGAATTGAACACTGGGACTTGTGATGTGAACAGAGCGGCTCAAATCTGATTAAAAGAGATCAGATTTTAGTGCTAAAAAAGGATGTGTCACAATTAGGCCAAAACATCAGATTTGTGTTGCTTTATGTAAAAAAAATCTGATTTCAAATTTGAAAATCAGAAAAATCAGATTTATGCTGCTGTAATGTAAACGCAGCCATAGCTCAGTTGACTGCAATTACAAGAATGTAAAACAAACACTCATCATATGACAAATATTGTGTCAACTGTTCCAACATATGCTATAGCCTCTGGCGTGCATACAGCTTAAACATCACAATTCAAGGCTGCAGCTAAACATCTTGCACATATCAGCACATCTCTAGTGCTGTGAATTGTTATGGAAATGCAGAAGAGGCTGATGCCATCTGAACTGTGTATGTGAGTATATTTGCACCTGCACAACCTCCTGAGGCTAATATATCTGTGTTCATGTTTATTTTTTTCCCCCCACTCCTGCAGCACATGTGCACCAAGTGCGGCATTCGCAGCAATAGTCGCTCCTGTCCTGTGTGGCTGTGCAAGATCTGCAGTGAACACAAGGAGGTGAGGCAATGTTAGATAAGTGATAATCTCCAGTGGTCGAATTTTTGAAGGGGGTGGTGGATTCAGACCAACAATGAAATGAGAAGAGTTCACTAAAAGACTGATTCTACTCATGTATATGTTATTTAAGGGTATTTAAGTGTAGTGTGTTACATTGAACATCGGTAAATTCGTAACACCACTGACAGAATGACGCAAATCTGAGCTTTTCTAAAATGTATTGCATTTACTGACACTTTAGTTTTAAAATCACATTGTATGTAGAAAATGACCCACATTGCATTTGTCATTATTTTATTTTCATTTAAAATAATTTAATGTGTCATTAGCAACATCACTGACACAAATTCTTTTTGCAACACATGAAGCTCTGTATTTTATGTTTCTGATACACAGCTGACAAAAAAATCTTGGAGCAAAATGATCAAAAAAGTGATATTTATCTATTTAAAATAATTCTAATAATTCTCATTTTATGCTCATTTTAATGGGACACCATTTGCCACCACATGATATAAAGGACTCCTAATACATATATGGCACGTAAATCTGAAATATGGTTGAAATTAGAACATCATTCATAGACATTTTAAATGACATATCGACATTAATCCAAAAGGGATGGAAATGGGATTTGGCAGTTTTACAAGGGCATCTCTTTTTCATCTCCCCTTTAATTGAGCCCTGGTTCATGATTCAAACACACTGCTATAGAATGTATGTGGTATATGCATTTTTGCAAAACCACACACTGTTTTTTGTTTTGTTTTGTTTTGTCTTGGCCTTTTTTTAAGAAGAGCTGTAGGCATGCTTGTCTGTTTCTGCATGACGGTTTGGTTCAGCACCTCTGACTTTTAAGAGGCTCTCTTACTGTAATGAGATGATTCATACCTTTGATGATGTAACCCGCGGTTAGTCACTGTTGTCACAGAGCAGCATGCAGACGGCCTCTTATAATGCAGCCGGATCATAGAGGCGCTTCAGCACTACGTTTGCCTCTAATCCAGTACATCCTCATCACTATGATGCCTGAGGTGTTACAGTTTCATACTTCAGCTCTTATAGGTGGGGTTGTAAAGGAAATACATAGTGTATTTATACAGAGTGGTGTGGTTCTTAGGTGATTCAGCACATTTATCAGAAATATCCATACTTTTATGTTCCAAATTCTGTAGCTTTAAGCAGCGTCTCACCCAGAGGTGTAACTATTACTTTTACCTCAAGTGGGTCCTTCACACTGGGGCCTGTAGCAGGGGTCGGTGGTGACTACAACCTTTAATGTCTTTATTGATGTAACTCAGCTCCGTCAAGATTTCAGGGACTTGCTAATGATTACTTCTGCAAGTTGCCAGTTTATTAGGTACCTTCGTACCAGGGTTATTATAGTTTTGTTTTTGTTGGTTTTTAATTTTGTTTAGTTTCAGTTAGTTGTAGAAAGTTACATGAATATTTTTAATTTAGTTTTTTATTTTCTAATAATAGTTTTAGTTTTCATTCAGTTTCATTTTTAGTTTTTAGTATTTTGTTGGACGCAGTGATGATAAGAGCAGGATAAAATTAACACAACAGTAGACTGAGCTTGGCTCGGCACTGGCTTTTCTTAAAAACAGTAAAACACAGAAGAGTTGCATTTCTAAACTCTCATTCACTAACGTAGTTTTCTGAGTAATTCTATTTAGTTTTAGAAATATCAATGTATTTAGTTTTAGTTAGTTTTGCAGTGGACATTACAGTTTTGATCTAGTTTTGGTGTTTTAGAAAATTTTATTTTTTATTTTTATTACAGTTAACAAGCACATTTTTTTCACTGCTAGTTTTAATTTTAGTAATAGTTTTAGTTAAATATAATACAAACTGCTTCATACAGACTGTGTTTAATAAGTCATAGTTTATGTGACTGTGGTGTGTCCACACTTGTATGGATGTTTGCAGCATGATAATAGCCCACGTCACGAGGGACCTATCATCAATGAATGGCACCCAGGAACCTGACAGCAGTGATGTAATAACTGGCAGTCCAGACGTGCCCATATTACGGTGGGGCCTGTAGCAACTGGGCCCCCTAACGTTTTTATCAGATGCCTTATATCACTACTTACGCAATTTCACACCAGTGACTCATGGGTAGCTATGGTAACTTACTAGGGAGTTTAGGCATTGACAGCTGTAAGGACACTGGGGAAATCAATGTCTCTAAGCAACAATTCTATTATGAAGACAATTTGTGTTTGACAGTTTTTGCTCACCTCATGACACATCTTCAGGAAAATGGAGAAATTTGACTGAAGTAGTCAGTGAAACATTTCCTCTGAATTCACTGAAAGAATGGATAAATATTGTAGAGTAATTAAAACGCTAATTCAACACACAAATAAAATGTGCTTACTAAAACCTTAGTTTTAGTGACTCATGTTTAGTCAAAGTGGTGTTTTTTTCTATATTATAACAACAGGCTACAGAGGCAGAAAGCATCTAGTCAAATTCACACACACCTATTTATCAGCAGGGGAAAACTGGTGAAAATGGCCCCCTTAGAAACAATGCCCATTTAGTGTAAAGCTAAACCATATGTGTGTGTGAGTTTATCAATGTCAATTTTGTCTAATTAAATTAATTAAATACTATAAATGAAATAAATACTAAATTAAATAATTAAATATTAAGTACTCGTGATTCATATTAATTGCATCAGAGGTGTCCAGTCTTTTCCACAAAGGACTCGTGTGGCAGCATGTTTTAATTCCAATCAAGCTGTAATAAACCTTCAAATGACTGATCATGTGCGCTCTTGCTTGATTACATAATTATATTGTGTACATTCATTAAACATTATTAGATCAGCTATTATTATTTTTATTATTATTATTATTATTATTATTATTATTGCAACATCATTTTTAAAAATAAAGGTGCCAGAAAGGATTCTTTGCACAATGCCATAGAAGAACCACTTTTGGTTAGCTGATGTATTATCATAAAAGTACCATTAGATACTTTAAGCTTTTAAGAAGTTCTTTACACTCACAAATTTCTTTTGTGGTTCTTTAGGGGACCAGGAGTGGTTCTCCTATGACATCGCTCAAAGAACCCTCTGTGACACCTTTTTATTAAGAATGAATGATAGCAATAACAGTTTAAACCAAACAATAGCATTCTACATTCAATTGGTAAGTGCAAATGATTATCACACAACAGAGCAGATTAGGTGTGAATGTAACTCTGCCTAACTGCTAAAGTCATTCAACTCAAACTCATCTCCAATAAGACGGTTAGAAATGTTGCCAAATTTTAGCTAACATTCGCTATTGCTAGCATGAAATGCTAATGCTAGCTAGCCACTGAAACACTAGAAACTTTTTTTAACCAATTTTCTCTGTAGTTTAGTCGTTGCCAGTTCCTCACTTTAGCTAGGTCTCCCCCTATCACACAATGCTACCAAGCTGGGAGGCTGAAGGCTAGCACATGGTTCCCCTGAGACACATGAAACTACATTTTTTTGAACTTCCACTAAACCAGTGTCATTGAACAGCTCAACATGCTTTGAGGAGAACACTAATTGCCAATTCTGTTACATCAGCCAACACAGGCAACACTGCACTGAAGGGAGTGATGGAGGATATAGAAGGAGGAGAAGGAGGGCCATCCTACCCACCCAGAGGGAGCAAGGAGAACTAGTCTCTTGGACCCCCTGGCTACAGCCATCTGTGGCATTGCTGGGGCTTGAACTTACAATCTACTGATTATAAGGCCAACACAATTTTCAAGGCAGTAAGCTAAAGGGGGCCTTCTGATCCATGTCTGGGTGGACTTCTTACCAAAACTTTACATTTTTACACCAACAGAAAAAAACTGTGTCTAGTATACTTTTACTATTAGCCTACATTAGAGCACCAAGTTGGTTGAGACATAGAAATAGTGAATAAACAAGCAAATAAATAGTCATTTTTAAATTTATTAAAGGTCATGTTTGTATCGGCCAGAGGCACCCATTGTTTTTTGCACTGTGGCCAATAAAATCTTAGTTACACCACTGGTCTGCTTTACTGGGAAAATGCACAGTGTGCAGTTACTTCCCAGGAGTTACTAATATAAATCACATACCCTCTTAGGAAATTTAATTGTATCTCAAGATCATGTTTTACCGTTGTATTACATTATTGCAAATAAAATCTTTAAAGAGGGGCCCAGGGGGACGGCATCTCTGGAAAGAGAACAAGTCTGATCTTCGAGATAAAATGAATCATTTATGGTAGTACATTTTCCCTCTGGCAGTTGCTTGTTTGAAGTCCAGATTAGCCTATTTCACCGATACAATCAACTAGACAATAACCGTTGTCTGTAATCATCCACAGGCAAGATAGGGAATCAAAGACATTTTGATACGTATCCTTTTTAATCTCTCTCAAGATGTTGAAGCGATCGGGTGCCTGGTTCTTCAAGGGGTTGCCGCAGCAAGTCTTGCCCGCTCCCTTACCCATCAAGCAGAAACAGTTCAACGCACCTGCTTCATATGTCAACACACAGAACGGAGGTTTGCTTTACAAGTCTCTATTATGCCTGAATGTGTGGTTATAAAGTTCAGTTTCATCTTGGAAACTTTCTCTGATATGAAAGGATTACCCATGTGCACATTAACAAGATGCATGTGTGAAGCAAACAAATTAACCACATTTGTACACTGGACCATTTTCCTAAATCTAGACAGTGCCCAGCTTCTCGGCAGAGGGCAGCACATTCCAGGTCAGTGCCTGTTCGTATTTATTTCAGTGGGCTTTAATATCGGATGAAAACAGCCTGAAAACTGGAATATCACTTTCCTGTTTATTCGCACTCAGCAGAAATGAAGCCTCCTGAGCAGGAGGAACAGTGTGTCATTGTCCAGAAGGAGCAAATGTTGGTAGGAGCAAGGCCGGCTGAGAGCAGGATCTTAGGTCGAACGCAAGCGGCTGTGGAAAGACAGACTAATCTGACGACAGTAAAGAAAGAAGAACCCGTCCAGAACACTAGACCTTCACACCCATCTTCTGCTATCATACTAACCCAAAAAGGTAAACAGATTTGTAGGTAAGTAGCAGAACTTTTTTAATGGCTCTGCAAGAACTTTGTTGGAGACAGTCTGCAAGAACTTGATTAACCTTTGCAGCGGCAGTTACAGCATGTGTTTGGCACGTTTGGAGCTGTTACAGTTGTGTGCAAAAGTCAGAGACCACCCTTCATTTATTCAATTTGCAGTCAAAATGACTATTAGTGACTATATGACCGTAAGTAAAAAATGGGTTATCTTATATCTAATCTGGTCAGAAATCTGAAAAATGAACTTTTGTTAGTTTGTATGTTTTGACTGGAAATTAAGTAAATAAAGAGGTGGTCTCTGACTTTTGCACAGCACTGTAAGTTCAATGGAATGGGTTACACCCGAATCCAGTGATGGCACTGGTGATTTTTTGGTCATACTATTAGGTCACCATGTGATTGATCTTCAACAGGTCTGGTAATGTGTTTCTCTTGCAGTCAAAACTCTTGCTCTTGAGAAAGGAATCCCGCCAATGGAGAACAGGCCACTACCCGCTATGCAGAAAGAGATACGACCCCTATTTGCAAACAGCGCCCCTGCTGTACACCAGCCCCCTCCCCCCACTACCGAGGAGGAGGAGGACGCCAACAGCTATGACTCTGACGATGCCAGTAAGACAGTAATACACTCTGACACATGGTCGTGTTTCTTCCCTACAGGTTCTTTACTGGACTAAATTGTTTACCGTGCAGCTCTTTCCTCCCCTAGAGAATCTTTGCATTCACACAATCCATGCGCCCTCCATGATCCAGCAGTGACTCGTGGCATCAACCTAGAATCCTAGTTTTTGCCTCTAGTTTGTAGTTTTTGTGGAATTAGGCATCAATTCCCTGTTGATCTGATATATTGTCACTCTCTTAGCCACACTGGGAATGCTGGAGTTCAGTCTGCTCTACGAGGAAGAAAACAGCGCTCTGCACTGCAATATTATCAGAGCCAAGGTATTGTGTTTCTGTCTCCGAGCGGGCAGAAATCACATTAAGTAAGCAGTTCTGTTTAAGTCTATTTCCGTACAAGACAAAAGCTTCCTTCAATCTTTTTGATGGATCATGTCACAATGTATGTAACCATAAACCATACAACCAAAGATGCTACTAAAACGGAGGTGTAGGAGGATAAATGTTGACTCTTTACTGTCGTCTCTTTGGTTAAGGGCCTCAAGCCAATGGACTCCAATGGACTGGCTGATCCATATGTCAAGCTGCATTTGCTTCCAGGGGCCAGCAAGGTAACACCAAAACACCTTCTGATCTGACTAATAAGGCTGATGGTATTGTTTTGACTTGAGAAGTGGGTACTGTCAGGAGGGATTGCTTTAAGTCTTAACTAGACACAGCAGAAGAAAGTACAGTTCAGTCTGTAATTACCTGAACTCTTGGTAAAGATAAGTATGAAAAGGTCATGAAAAATGTCTTGCTAATTCACTCACACTAAAAATGTGAGAATAAATCTAACATTTAATATAAGTAAATTTAGTCTAACAAAACAAGAACCATCTGTAAAACTACTTTTACAAAAAAACTAAAAACGCTTAACGAAGTTTAGTTTAGTACTTTCTGCAACCTCTCTTTGCCGACATAATGGCATTAAATCTTCTCGTATAATGCTGAATGAGATTGGGGAATAGAGAGTGAGGAATCTGAGACCACTCCTCAATATACAATCTCTCCAGATCCTCCAGGGTGCTAGGTTCTCTTTCTTTTGCACTGTCCAATTCAGCTCACCCCACGTTTTCAGTGGGGTTTAGGTCAGGGGACTGCGATGGCCATGTCAAATGCTTGATTCTGTGGTCACTGAACCATTTATATGTGGATTTGGATGTATGCTTTGGATCACTGTACTGCTGGAAGATCCAACCCCAACCCAGTTTCAGCTTTTTAGGAAGAGGATGCCTGATTTTCATTTAAATTCTCCTTGTACTTCATGTCCATGATGGCATATATCTTAACAAGGTTGTCAGGAGGAAAACAGCCCCAAAACATCAGAGATCCTCCAACACACTTAACAGTAGGGATAACTTTCTTTTTTTAAGAACAATCCTTCCTTTTTATGCCAAACCCTCCTTTAGTGTTGGGTGCCAAAAAAATGTACTCTCTAAGCACAGGACCCAGTTCCAAAAGTTCCAGCAGTGTCTAGTCAACTCCAGAGTGTCCTTTTCCAGGCAGGTTCACTATAGCTCCAGTTGTTTTAAATATCTTAATTATTGCCTTAACAGTGGATCAGGATACTTTTGGGTGAGTTTTATAGACATCACCTGATTTGTGAAGGTCAAAACACTTCTGACTCATTTCATAAGTGTAGTTCTAATCTTGACAAAGGGAGTTTGGCCTCTGTGTCACCACATAATTATATTCCATGTATAAATAAAGAGTCCCTGAAAACTCAAGTGGACTTAAAAAAGTGAAATCAACATGTTCACCATGGCAACATCAAATGGATGTTGAAATGTGCCTTGAAATGTGCATACATTAAATGCTTTGTAGGAAACATGACATAGACTTAAAAGGAAGATTTCAATTCTTGAAAAATATTTAAACTTACTGTGCAAAGTTGAAGACTAAGAATCTATGTTCTTCTTATGCCAGTCAAACAAGCTACGCACAAAGACTCTGTATAACACCTTGAATCCAGTTTGGAATGAAACTCTGGTCTACCATGGCATCACCAATGAAGACATGCAGAGAAAGACCCTCAGGTGAGCACAAGTTGTCTCTAGGTTTTTTTTCCCCATAACAAAAGGAAGAGTCAAGTTTACCTGTTATACAAATAGAACAACTTAACCAAAGCATGAAATCTGTATTAAGCCCATTGGCCAAATCATATTTCAATCATGAAAATCGTTAGTCATTTTGTAGAAACAAGCTGATTAGGTATTACATTCAGTGCTTTCATTTAATTTGCAAGTGAGATGAGCTTGGAGACTCATTGATTTACACTCTTCAGCTACTTCACAACTTAATTAAAGACCTGACATTTCCAAGAGTGCAAGGGGTTAGCATCCACATTGTTCTCTGCCAGACTGTCTGTGAGTGATGAGGACAAGTTCGGACATAACGAGTTCATCGGGGAAACACGGGTGGTCCTGAAGAAGCTGAAGCTGAACCAGAAGAAGAACTTCAGCGTATGTTTGGAGAGAGTGGTGCCGGTAAGCCACATTACTCACACTATTAGATTACAGATATTCTCGTAATGTATGTTCTTGAGTTTCACAGCCTGGCTTTGGCCCCCACCTGTGTAGGTGAAGCGAGTAGCTGCTGGAGGTTCGATCCGTGGCATGGCCTTGTATGAGGAGGAGGTAACTAAATCAAACCTACATACTCTTTGCATGGACATAGAACTTCCAAGTTGTATAACTCATGACTGCGAATAGGCATATTCCTATTATGTAGGCTAACCTCTTTTGCATAGGTTGCAGGAATGGGTAGTTTTGGAAGGCCATGGTGCTGCACAGTGTCCTGTCTCCACGAACACATTTTTTTAACCCAACAAGGTTGAAAATTAGCTGAATGGTAATATGTGTTATTTAAAGCAGAGAAAACTGTGCTCTGCTGGACTGGAATTGCTCATTTTTACTGTCGTCTGTGAGGGCTGACTGGTTCTTTGTATGACTTTTGGTAGGTAAAAGAAGGCGATGATGCAGAGGAGCGAGGCCGTATCCTGGTGTCGCTCACCTATAACAGCCAGGAGAGCCGGCTCATTGTGGGCATCGTCCGCTGTGCCCATCTGGCTGCTATGGACTCCAATGGCTACTCTGACCCTTTTGTCAAGATGTGAGTAGGAACTATTTTTGAGATTGAAAACTTCCATAGCCACTACAAAGTCTTGAAGTCAGACAGTCATGCTACATGCCACACATAATGAGTGTTTTGAGATTTTAAACGTTTCGTACAGGGCTATCCTCGAAGGGCCAGTGTGGTAACAGGTTTTCATTGTAACAAAGCAGGAACCCACATACGGAAGCATATCAGTAGCAAAATTCAAACGAAAATGTGACTTGTAAAATGGCAATGTATTCTTATGTTTGAATTTGAATTCCCACTCAAAAGGCAAAAATTAAAACATTATTTACCTTATAAGCATTTGCAGTCCTTGATAATGCATTTGATTTGCAATATCAAAGAGAAGACCTAACCAGAAACATGGCAAAACAGCACACTCAGTGGAAAAGGCTTTCTCTGGACCATAGCGGCCAGTTTAATGTTAGAACCAGAAACAGAATGAATGAAGCAGAACAATATATCCACTTGAGATTTACTATGTCCTTATATACAACCCACAAATAATCTTTAATTGAATGTGTGGCAGATCTTTCTGTTTTAATAAGTGGGTCAAAATTATGGCTAATTTATAGTGTTATATAATATAGTAATATAGTGTTAGTTGAACAGCTACAGACAGAGATTAGTCCAGCATCAAAGGCTATCTTCTAATGTACGTAATGAGCATCAGATGTACATAATATGCATGCATATATTGATGTCCACTGCATATTTTGTGTTCCACCTTATCTGTCATGAACAATTTATACAATTATTTAGTTGTAATTGTACTGGTACACACAAGCAGATGTAGATCAAATAAATACCTAGTCATAATGGCTGAGTTGGCAACAGTTCCTGTACTGTGTCAGTACTGTGTCATATCTCGACCAAGATCAGCTAGCGGTTCTATAACGGTATGCTTTCCATTTTAAAAATGAATATTATAAAAATCGCTGGTGTATGTGTGTGACATAGTATGCTGGTTCAGGTTAGCAGCTGGTAGAAACAGCAGATTGGGGCCTTGTTTGGAAATGTAGCTTTAGCAAGCATTAAAAACGGCTTTTAGCTAAATTAATTCCACAGTTCCACAGTTTCCCCAGAATACCATTAGATGAGATAATGGCAGAGCAATATATCCATATCTGATGGTCACTTTGTAGAAAACATCCCTACATGGCATCAACTGGAATCTCCATGACAGACCTCCCCGCTGCCCTAGTTGTGAATTCTTTCAGGCAACGCTCTCAGTTTATGAAACAAGGTGAACAGTTTCTTGTTCAAATTTTCTGTTTCACCCCTAACGGTGTTGCTATAACATTCAGGTGCATTTACATTGCTCCTGCATGTTGACGGCCAAGAGCGCATCCTTCCCCTTCAGTTTGCTGCCTGTGGGTGTTTTAAGTGAGTTCCCTGTGAAATCCAATTGAAATGTAGTCTTGCTAAGTTGTTATTTTAGTAATCAACTTAGTAAAGTAATGCTTATTTTAGTAATCAATTTAGTAAAGTAATGCTTCTATTTTCATGCTTTCTATTTTTTTCATCATTAAATGAATATTAATATTAATAAGGTTAAACTTGGAAAGATTAGTATTTAGGTCGTTGATTACCACTTGGGGTCAAAATCAGTCATTTTGGTTTACTATCATCCAAACAATCATTTTCCCACACGGATTTCAAAATCTGGAAGTAAACAGTTGTGTTTAGATATATTAGCGTTCACCACTAATCATCCATGTCGCAAGAAGACGTCTGAAAACCAGAGCGAATGTTTCGTACCTTGAGCTGCAGACACGAATCACGTGAACACCAGCTGCTTCCTGATTGGGTAAGATCAGCTGGATTTATTTGCATAAAGTTCAGCTCCACTCAACTTTTTGATACACCCCATCCCCCATTATGCACCGCACAGCCTCATCTGATGGAATCAATGCTTTCTATTGAAAATGAAAATGCAAGAAAAAGAAGCTGGCGAATTGGACAAGAAAAGTTCAGCTTCATTTTTATCAACCAGATTGATAAAGCAGAGAACTTGGCCTATGTTCGGCTAAACACCTTCTCATTGAGTCATAAAAACATTAAGCATCATAACTGGATGTATTGCTCTGCTTCATCTCATCTGCAAATGTAAGAATAGCTCTAATCTCTTCGGCCGCCATGCTTTCAGATAGAAAGCCTTTTACGCTAAGGGTGCTGTTGGTCCCACCCTGATGGGATTGTTGACAGGTTGGGAAGTCCATTAAAATGAAAATGCAATTGGGTCAATGCATTTTTAAAGACATATTGCCACAGAATGAACGCAGTAGGCAAGGATATGTAATTGCTAAGAGGAGAGGCACCAGTTCCCTTTTTACATTTGAATTTTATCCTCTTTCTAGCTTGGTGTTCTCTTTGATAATGCGACTTTTAAAGGCATTATTAAAGAGTGCAAATGCATATAAGGTAGGTTACATTTTAATTACCATTTTGACACCATTATTGTATAATCACATGAAGCATAAATATGTAGTTCTGGAAATAAATTTGAATTTAAATAAAGTTAGTTATAAAGCATCTAAATTGTTGTGTAAATGAAATGTCAATATTAATGTAGTGAATTTTCATTTTGAGTCCAAAGTTGCATATATGAATGGGACATTTAAATTCAAACATAAAAATACATTACCATTTTATACATTACATATTCATTTGAGTTTTGCTAATGATATGCTTCCATATCCACATAATCAACAAATCTGCAGACACACCAGCCCTTTGCGGACAAGACTGGACACTCCTGGTCTACAGCATTTTTTTTCCAACCATGATCAAACATTTTAAAAGCATTCTAAAATACACAACTGTTCAGTTTGGAATCACTTGCCATAATAAATTCAGAGTGGTTTAATGTGAAACATATCACTGTAGAGAGACCTACTGACTCAGCTTTCTTTACAGTGGTGATAAAGGATTGTAGGGAAAAATAGGGAATTCTTCCTCAATATCTTTTGTTATTTTATATTTAAGCAGCAGAGCAAGTGTGTTATCACAATTAATGTAATAGCTGTGATTCAGTCACAGGCCAAAGACCTTCATAGCAGCCATGTCATCATGATAATACACATCCTCAAGGCTTGTGTTGCTTTATACAACAGTACTGCAAAAAAAGTTAAACAAAGAAGCCCCAAACATTTTATCTAGTGTGCTTTAATATTAGCAATTCCTTCATCTGAAAATGTACTTACAGCCAAAGCCATAAAACTGTGACAATATCAGGTTCAGCTCCACCTTTTTAATAATTACTACATTAACCTGCATCTGCGTCTTTTGTTCCAGCCAGTCTGTAAAGCATTTCTTAGCCCATCTAGTTTGCCAAATTGTATTCTGTTCATTTCTGGCTAATTCCAGTTTGTTTAGTTGTTCCACCATCACAGCTGTCATCCAAAAACCTTGCTTAGCAGCAACGACAGGTTCAGAACTCTTCTTAAGAATCTGACCAAACAGGCTGCAGGTCAGATATTATCTTATATCAGTTATCTAATGTGTCCATTTTCTGGTTTTAGATATAATAAAGTATAAACTTTATTAGTGAATCGTTGCCAATTGTTAAACGGTGCTAAGAGGAATGTAATTGTGAAAAAAGGGCCATTATCACAAATAAAAGCACGTGTAGAATGCTTATCAACCAATCAGAGTGTGCCGTCTGATCTGACTGTCATATAAACAATAATAACTTTTGCAATGTGTATTTCAATATGACAAACTACTCACCAAAAGATATTTTTATACGTTTTATTCATAATTTCAGGAATTCTGTGAACAAGAAGTTAATAAATGATTATTAATGCAGTGTAATTACAGATTTACATTCATAGTTTTATTACTTTGTCTACCTAGAGAATTGATTTCCACATTTTAAATATGATAAATTCTGGATATTAATTTGATTATAAATTTATAGAATTCTTGATGCTATGCAGCTTTCTCTGTAGTTTTAGAATCTTATATAGCTCTGTTCAACATTCTGGACACAGCAAACATTTCTTACTTTATTATGTGCTTTATTTACAGCTCCCTTGTGTCCAAGTAATTATTTGAAACATGTGAAGTTGCACAGGACTAACATATTAGAGTCATTTTATACATGTCAAACAGGTTTTGTATTCTTGAAAGCTATAATTTCAAACTTTTGAACAGTAAGTAGAACTGTGTTTTGGAAGAATCTTGTCTTTGTCCTCCTTTGTCACATCTCATGGGGTGGCTATTATTAGCTTATCATAGATCTTTTTTTTGGGAAACTAATTAGACCCCCATGTAGCTCATAAATGTACTTCACATTGTTGTCTTTATTGTTGTCGTGCTGTTCTGCAGTTGCCTGAAGCCTGACATGGGGAAGAAAGCTAAGAATAAAACACAGATCAAGAAGAAGACCCTGAACCCTGAATTTAATGAGGTTTGCTCTTTCTGTCTGTCTCACTAATACCCATCTGTCTTGCTAATATGAGATGGAGCAAAGCGCTCTTCAAAATGCCGTGAAATGACACCTTGAGAGAGCATTTATGAGCTCTGACACATCAAAACAAAAGGAAGTTCCTCATTCTCTTCATGTCACATGAAATGGGTTCTGCCACTGACATGTTTCAGAAACTGACAGGTTTTTTGTCATTGCAGGAGTTCAGCTATGAGATCAAGCATGGTGAACTTGCAAAGAAGACTTTGGATATCTCTGTCTGGGACTACGACATGGGAAAATCCAATGATTTCATAGGTATAGACTCTTTAGAGCATATCATATGTTAACTTATGGATCCACATAGTTCATAAAAGGGACCAAACAATATATCGATTGGAGGGGATACTGGTGGATATCGAGATTTTGCTAATTTATCAGTACCAGTGAAAAACCTGCAGATAATGTGATAATGTGGCTTGTCTTATATTGTAACAAACAGACATCCTTTAATATTAGCAGAACCATTTGCTTTATTAAGACTGGTAATCTGACAGTCATCATGTATTTATATACAAGTGGCTCCAAAAGTCTGAGACCACACAGAAAAACTTGGAATAAATAAATAACAAATGTTTAGACTTTAAAAAACTAAAACATCGATAAATTATGAAGTAAATGAAGAAGAAATATTCAAGATTCTGCACTATATGTAGGGCACTATGCTATAATTCAAGCAAATTTGTGACACTGACATTTTTTTTAGTATTATTTGTTCGTGTTGAGGTGACTCTTCAGTGTATCTGATGTACTCATCAGAGGCTTTTGCACAAATTTGTAAAGTCTATCCCAACTCAAGTGCATTAAAGCAAACTGGGGACAGAATAAATACTAAGAAATTGTGAAATTCATATAAAGGTTTTAAAAAAACTACTTCTCACTCAAACTGGTATGCTGGTGTATACAGTCCTCAATTACAAAAAAGTTGGGACAGTCTGTAAATTGCTAAGAAAAACAGAAAACAGTGGTTAGTACATTCTGTTGTACCTGTTTTAATTTAAATAAAAGTTGTTTTATCTTTGAAACTATATATTTTTTTGCAAATATACACTCATTCCAAATTTGATGCCTGCAACATGTTTCAAGTTGGGACAGGTTTACTGTTTACTGTTACATCACCTTTTCCTTTTAAAAGTACTTAATATGTACTTAATAAGTACTTAATAAGTGATCTGGATGGTCCTTTTCATCCTCGGCCCAGAGAACATGACATGCATTATTTCCATAAAAAATCTGAAAGTTTGATAACAGTACATGCTGTTATTAAAGCAGCGTCATTTGAGGGATGGATTTCACCAAAAATCTTTTGATGATGTTTCACCATAAAGAGGGATATACCTAAAATCCTTGCAATCGCTCATTGAGGAATGTTGTTCTTAAACTGTTGGAATATTTGTTGATGCATTTTTGGCAAAGTGGAGAGTAGAGGTGAGTGATATGGAAAAATGTAATATAACAATACTTGAGGAAGATTTTTACAAAACACAGTGTGGCACAATATTGATTTTTTTCTGACATCTGATAAGTTAGAACAAAGAAAGTTGAAAAATGCTGTCAAAAATGATGTATGCAATTACTTGTATTCAACATTTCACACACTGTAAAATCTACATCCAAAGTATATCCACAATATAAATATACTCAGAAGAGCATATTGTGACATATTGTCATGTAATTTATCACAATGCAGCGTTAAGTACTGTCATATTGCCCAGCTCTAGTGGAGATTCTTTGCGTTCTTGCTTATAAGAGACTAGCATTACGTGTTTTAAGTTTTTTTTAACATTTCACAATGTTCCTAGTTTTAAACTGCCCCTGTCCCAACTTTTTTGGAATGTGTTGCAGGCATCAATTTCAGAATAAATGTATGAAGTTGATAAGATAAAACATTTAATTTTGTGTCTTTGCACTTTTTCTTGTTTAAATATAGGTCAGTGTGGATTTACAAGTCACTGCTCTTTGCAATTGTTCACTTTGTGAGCTGCTTATTTGAGTTCAAGAAATTTGCAGTTCACAGTTCAATGATGCAATACAATTTCTTATTTTAAAAAGTCGTTCATATCTTGGTTAGGATAGCACAGGAAGAACACATGTTGGTTCTTGATTTCATGTAAGCCATTGCACGAATTTGTTAAGTTTCATTAGCAACTTACCTGATTTAATTGAACGAAGGACTAATTAGATAAATTAGGTATTGGTTGGTCACTGTAAATTCTGGGCCTCCTCAAGGAGATGTTTATGGTTAAACAAACACGTAACATCACGTAAAATCTTTTTTGGATTCTAATTGCTTAATTGTATTTATTGTAATGTTCCTCAAAGGAGTGGTTCAAATTTACATAATTTTCCACTTACCCCAGATATAAGTAGTCAGCCAAGACATGCTTGGTGTTCAAATTATGCTTCTTCAGTTTAGCTTTTTGATGTGTTTTAGGACACAGTATGAGTTAATGTGAGCTATAAAAAGGAGCAAAACTTCTCAGTGTAGCTGAACACAGCAGGCAGACTTTTTAGACAACAGTTGTTGTGCCGAATTCCAACTCCTCAGCACAGTCCAACTTAACTGTTATTTCAATTTATGTTTATTAATAAAAACAACAAAAATCACAAACATAATCTGTAACGTCCATATGGTTGCATAAGCATGACTGCAAAGGCATGTCTGAATTCAGCACAACACCTCTTGTTTACTAGCTTCACAGTGAAGTTTTGCTTAATTATCTGTTAATTCACAGTAAGTCGTACTGTTCCCTAAATCACAAGGCTGCACAACCTGAATGAAGACCTGGATGCAGTTTGAGCTGATTGAGATAAGTTTTGGGGCTCTATTTATATGACAGAGGAGTCACTGACTATTGACTCCTAGTGTTTGCTAGCAATTTTAGCTTCATAGCTCCAGTACTAAAATAAAGAAGCCAAATTTGGGCATTAAACATGTTTTTTCGCCGAATCATTCTTTCAAGATAACTAACTGCAGTTCTGTGTTTGCTTTCATCTCAGTTGGGCCCCAGATTAGAAATGTTGTGTGCTGTAACATGCATGCTATATCCATAATGATGCTCAGGCCAGTGATATAGAGGGCCATGGTATGGTAGTGATGATGATGATGATGGTTAAATAAATGCAATAAAATATACTGTATAAAACAGGTGGCTGTCAGCTTGGAATCACAGCCAAAGGAGAATGCCTGAAGCATTGGTACGAGTGCCTGAAGAACAAAGACAAGAAGATCGAACGCTGGCACGTTCTGTTCAACCAAAACAACGTGGAGGCTGATGACTGAAACGTGTCCCTATCCTGCTAGATCTTTGTGACTCTGTATGATCCTGTCTTCCACCATCTTTATCCCTACCCTAACTGTGCTAATAACATGACTTTGTGTACCCAGTGTTCTTCTTGCTTTGAATTCCTATGTTGAGCTATTACGTAACTAGTGGTCTAGGTAACATGGAACTGACTCACTGTTAATCCGCTATTGTGCACAAGAGTGCATCATGGATTTTCAGGCAACATGAAAGAGCCTCATAGGATAAGAACATGGGAAGTAAATGTGACAGTAAATGTGACAAATACTATATTTAAATAATAAAAACCACCAAATAATTTTGAAACATGATAATGTTGCTGCTCGATTAGATTGGAAAAACAACTTAGCATTGTAAGCTACGCACGTGGCCTTGAGCTATATTTATCATTTCTGTTTTGAAATTATGCAAACAACAAAAGTTTATTTAAATGAGATATAACATCCAGTCAATTTAGACTATGAATATGAAGTTGAAACTATGTACTGACTGTTGTCTTATTGGAGGGTTTTATTTCGATATAGTCCATATAAGTGCTCACTTATATATACATATATATCACTCAATATTTAGGAAATGTTCTATGTGCATTTTCTCAAATATTCTTGTCATTGTTCTGTTCCTACCATTGAAAGAAGCTTATTCAGTTTATTTGTTAAATACTCAGACACGCTACTGTATGTTGAGTGTATGCACTTGTATTATCTAAATGTAGCCAATAAAATATACATGACACAAAGTAACCTTGCTGATATGTTGCAACGTGAAACATTCAAATCACTCGCAATAATTGGCTAGCCATGTGTTTGTACTCTGGAAAGTCTCTGCTCACCTGTGTCTCAAGATCCAGCGCAAAGGTCAGCAAGTGAAATGCTCGACAATCTGTAACGCAATATCATCTTCCAGTCTGGAGGGGAATTTCTGTGTGATGCCCAATGTCACTGTGCTGAAAGAAAAAAGGGTACATTTTAGTCCACGAAGATGCCAACAATATATACCCTCAAAGGTACAAAACTGTCTTTAAGGCCCAAATGGTTACCTTAAAAGAGTTTTACAGGTAAATTATGTTCACTTACCCAGGGAAAAAAAGGGTTTTTAAATAGAAATGTAACAAAAAACCTGGAGTGTATAGACAGAGTGTATAAAGTTAATGCAAATTAAAACAATACATTCCAACAGAATATGATACAATTATGTTCCCTAACTAAAAGTACTGAATATGTACCCTTGAGGGTTCTCCCCAATGACATGAGGGTACTATTTTTCAGTGATTTGAATTTGCTCTTTGTGCATTAATATGATGCAAAAACACAATGTGAGCATACAAAGTAAAACAAAAGCCTGCTGACCCCTATGACATGCAAACAAAACTAATTAGGCCTGTCATAAAATTTTAGCTGACAATTAATTCCCATAGAGGTAACTGTGATTTGCAATTTAATTTTTTATTTTTTTTTAGTTCCTGGTGATACTACAGCTATCCACGGTCAGGGATCCAAGAGAGCATAGCTGGGCTCGCTTTCTCTGGGTGGAATGAATGATCAGTATGATGCTAGTGAGCAAGAGTGCTTGTTGGCTAACATAACAGAATTGGCAGTTAGCATTCTCCTCCAAGCGTGTTGAGGTGTCCAATAACTGCATTAGCAGCAGTCAGAGAAGATGCGGTGGCTCCATGTGACTCAGAGTAAGCACACACCAGTCTTCACCCTCTGAGCTTGGTAGCATTGCGTGATGGGGAGAAGTAGCTATAAGATGTGAACTGTCATTGAGTAAATTGGGCAGAAAATGGGATGGTGGGGATGTTGTATTAAAGTACACGCCAGAAGTGGCCAAACTGACTGAATAGCACCTCTTGACTCTTGGTTGCTTTCAACTGACGATCTCAAATAAGCTAACAAAATATTGTTAGATCCTCTAACAAGATATTGTTAAATACCCATCGTTGCATTCTAAACGTATTATAGCACCGGGTCAGAAGACAGAACTTTGGCTGTTTTTGTAAGACCCACAATGTGTCTCAGTGAACGTGTTTTCTACTTTCTTTTATTTACATGAATTCACATTCATGTGCACCCAGTTCACATTCTTTGTTTGATGATAAACATAACATTGTGAATAGAGGTGGCCAATATGATGAAATTTTATCATGATTAATGTTGTTATCCTGATAATATGCTTTTGTGAGCATATCATGGATATTGTCAGAAACGGACTCCATGTTTCATTACAAAGACAGCAGAATTAGTCCTGTTTAACCGGACTTAATGCAGCATAATGTGTAGAACACTGAACAAACATCATTGTGCTCAGAGTTTTCAAATGTGCCACTACTAGTGCATTGTGTCTGTGTGTCACAATGTTGTGATATGTATTCTGTATGATAAAAACATCTTTTAGTATTATGATATGATCATTTTGCCATATTGCCCACCCCTAATTGTGAAAGCTGAAAACTCTGGAAAAAAAATTTTAACAGCTAAAATAATTGCGATCCGGCGACTATGTAATAACTGTGACAAGCCTAAACCTAATATGTCACGTTTCCTCACTGACACTCACAGACAAAAGGCAAACTATGTGGGTAAATTTTTGTGGCGATTTTGAAAAGTCACATCTTATAAATGTATTCACAGCCTTTGACCTTCTGGAAATCAGTGAATATTGATTACACTTTAGCATGTCCATACGCGTCATTTCCATCTTATGTAACAAGCCGGGAGACCCCTCATGTTGTGCTGGAGTTTTTCCTCTTGCCTGCTTTCAACGTGTACTTTCTCTTTCCTATAACCTGCTTTAGAAAATTTTGGTATGATGCACTTCAAGAACATGGCACAATTAACGAAAGTGCCAGTGTACTGTTGACAAAGTAAGACTCACATTATTTGTCTTGGCTTATTTCTCAATTTCAAGCAGAACAGAGGAAACTCAGCCAAAAAAAAAAAACTAAGTGGATGTCCAGAAGGTGCACTTTCTAAAGCACTGGAAGAGCTGTTGGGGGCACGTTGCTCTTTTCAACACAGGCTAAAGCCCTAAAAGCAAAAGATTGATCAATTACACAGAGAATAGCATCTAAAAGCTCAACCAGCTTTGTTTGTGTTTACTTTGTATGTCAACAAAGCACTCAATATCTCCATTACTGTGTCCCACCATGAGGTGAAAAAATGCCTTTAGAGTAAAAGGCATGCAAAGAGTGAAATATGCCAAAATCATTCGAAATATGGCATAAATGTAGCTTTTTTGCATGTTCTTACTAATTATAAACTTAAAAGTAAGCAATAAGGTAATAAGACTTGAGGAAATAAACTTTTCACCTTCATGTTGTAACTGAATTTATGAGTGCAATGAAAAAATTAGCTGCAAATTTCTGTGCAATTTCTTTCAATAGTTCATAGATGTTAGAATCTGGTTCACTGGGGGAGGGCGGGGGTTACCAATGAAGTAATGTTAATGGTTAATCTGCCAGCCGTGCCCCCAGCAATGATAGGACAGAAAACTTTGTGCGAATCAGGCGAGGGCTGCACCAATCACCGCAGTGACACGCATAAGGAACCTGGTGACCTTTGATTCGCTAGGTAAACACTTCAGCCTCCTTTGGGTGTGCAAACGTTCTTATCATTTTAGCCCATCACTACAAAGGCATTCTTACCTCATATATGTTAAGTGTAACAGACATTGTTTTACATGCAGAATCAGTATTGCACATGATGAGAATGCAGTGTTACTATGTCAAGACTGACCATGACACTTTAGCCCTGCAGTGTCCATTCTTAGCGGCTGCCACAATCACATTTTTCTTTACCCTGGAGTTTGAATCTTGTCTTGTTGTCACATCGCGTCATGTCATGCAGGGAGATAACAAGATGTTGCGGATATTGATAAAACATGATAAAGATAATGACTAATGCATCAGTAAATGTTTGATGTATCACTCTATGCGAGTCCATTCTAGTCCCCATAAGGACTGTACCAAATCAGGTGTGTTTCTGTGTTGGTACCTACACAGTCAGTTCTCCATAAATAAATCTACTTACCAAAGACACGCCTGTTGCCAAACCCTCCTTTTGGTCATCCAAACATCCTGATGTTGACTCAAGTCCAGACCATAAGGGAAGTCCCCCCATTCGGACCATCATATAAAAGAGCAAAGGGTGCAATGCCCAGTCACATAGCTAGAACAGAGGTGTGTAGCAGATTTGATTGATTTTCCTTTGGCTTTGTGTGCAACACCTCAAATTATTTATGCATTCACTTAGCTTTTTCTGGAACTTTCTGATGTGAAAAGCTCAATACAGCAGCATTTCATTGCAGAGAGGTTTCAGTTCAGTCCATTGCAGTTACCTTTTCTGGATTTCACAAATAAAATGAACGGTCGCTGCCTTTTTCAGGCTGTAGTGTGCCTCATGTCGTTTTTCCTAGATTTTTCCGCTGCTGGTCATTTTTGGACATTTGCAGGAAGCAGCACTTTCTGCTTCTGGACTAAATCTATCTCAAATGGGCGCACACATTATATGTTCCTTCACCAAACTGGAGAGGCCAATGAGAGATCTCTTGTCCTATTTGACAGTATCTGGAACAAGGAGAACAGCCTGGTGGACTGCATTACAAGCAGCGACCAAGCTGTTACCAAAAGCTACGAGTCAAAGTGCTGGGAGGCTGGAGGCAGGCCGTTCTTAGAGACTCCAGATGGACGCTTTAACATCAGTGAGCTGGTTGAACCCGATGGCCCCTGTGTGGCCATGGGCCGTTTGGCAGGACTCAGGACGTCTGTGCGCAGGAGCAGAGACCTGGAGAGTGTTAACCGCAAGGCGGCATCCATGCGGCAGAACAGTGGAGAAAGTTCCGGGCTGAAGCAGAGGCGCACAAAGAGAGCATGGATGATCCCAGGAACTCTGTGGTGTGGTGCTGGAAACAAGGCCCTCAACTTCTCAGACTTAGGTCAGCAGAATATGTTGCTTGTGCTTTTAGTATTATACACAACCCGATTACCATGCTTTGTGCAGTAGTTAAAGAGGACCTTGATGTTTGTGACAACTGTCCTCTCGTGTCATAGGTATGTATGAGGAGACTGATAAGTGCTGTAGGGAGCATGACCACTGTAAGGACGCCATCGCCTCTTTTGGGTTCAACTACGGAGTCTTCAACACCAACATCTTCACCTTGTCGCACTGCGACTGTGATACCAAGTAAGTCTAACTTCATTAACACAACCAGTTTCATGTTCCTGCAGCTGGAGTTTGACTTGCTAACAGCATCGATTCATTACATAGCCTCCTGTAACATGAGACAAAACATGACTGTGAGAAGGCTTACTTTAAAGACGTCTCACATTTCTATTGCCCACTAACACTGAGGGGTGTGCTATCATGTTAACTTAATGTGATCTCTCTCTGTGATATTGATTCAGGTTCCGCCGCTGCCTTCATAAGGCCAACGATAGCATGTCCAATGTGGTAGGCTACGGCTACTTCAACATCCTCAAGATGCGCTGCTTTGAATTCTCACAGAAAATGCAGTGTGTGGAAAGGACCTGGTGGGGCATGTAAGTGAGCATATATTACATATATTTAATCAAATGTTTGCACTGAAAACTCAAGTTAAAGACCCATAGAGCAAAATGTCCAGCAAACATCTATATAAGTATCTATAGCTACATGGCTGTAGAGTAATACAGGAGATATGACTCTTGACTCTTCTTAACAGGTGTAAATTATATCAGCTGACTAAATATGCGTTGGTGAAAGATGCAACATATTACAATTCCACGTCCCCTGAGTTAGAAGATGACATGCAGGGTCTAGCCATTTATCACACAATCTCTGCTGGAAACCACACATTCACTACCAGCTCTGCAATGTCCTCTACGGTGCTCATGGAAGATGCCAGGACAGCCAGCACAGAACAGTCGACAGTGTCTGGAGCTGAACTGACATCCAGTACAGCGAATGCACCTGAGCTTCATGAAGGAAGTCCACAGACAAATTCACCACTGACAGAGACAACTTTACCACAAACAACACAGAACAAAACAACAGACCCACCACATACACAAAGGACAGATTCACCACATACACCAACAAAAGATTCACCAAGGACGCCAACAACAGTTTCACCACAGACAAAAACAACAGATTCACCACATACACCAACAAAAGATTCACCAAGGACGCCAACAACAGTTTCACCACAGACAAAAACAACAGATTCACCACATACACCAACAAAAGATTCACCAAAGACACCAACAACAGTTTCACCACAGACAAAAACAACAGATTCACCACATACACCAACAAAAGATTCACCAAAGACACCAACAGTTTCACTACAGACACAAAGGACAGATTCACCACAGACAAAAACGACAGATTCACCACATGTACCAACAAAAGAATCACCAAGGACACCAACAACAGGTTCACCGCAGACATACTCACCACAGACACATTCAGGTGTGCCAATGACAAAAACAACAGATGCACCACATACACCAACAAATGATTCACCAAGGACACCAATAACAGTTTCACCGCAGACACAGAGGACAGATACACCACAGACAAAAACAACAGGTTCACCAAAGACGCACCTCCAGCCTGATCTACACACCAGGCAGAAAGGTACAATGTGTGGCTTTTATACGTTAAACATCCTACTTAAGTCCATTCCAGCATATATTATCTTCAGGAAAAAGGTTCTTAAAGGGTGACTTTCTGCTTTACAGATAAACTGGAAACATGTGAGAGTTATAAGGACCTGGATTCCTGTCGTCATCAGATACCTGCAATGCAGGAGAAATATGGCCTGCGCAACAGTGAATTCACCACTTTGTACCACTGCAACTGCACAGCAAGGTAGCCACATGTTCTACACTATGATCACAAGAACTGAACACGTTGACAGTCAGATACAGACTTTAGCACAGAAACAGAAAAAAGTACAGTGTGTTGTTTGTAACACAGGCTTGCCAGAGAGTTCGCTGGACAGGACAAGGCCGATGACGTTCACTTCTTATTGCTGGACTTTGTGTCCCAATTTTGTTTTATTCTGCCTCTGAACTGCACTCATGAAAGGTGAGATCACACCATATTACACTGGATACCAAATGATAAATAGCATGTAAAACTACCATCATTCGTGCAATTGTTCACTGTCAGTGAAGTAATGACTGAGGCTGAGGTGAAAGAGATACCAAAATTATTATTTTGAATCACAATATTCAGGGCTGTTTCTGAACTTTTGAGGGCCCCAGGCAACAGCCTACTTGTATGTAGAAATGAAAATAATTCTAATGTTTATTAAATGTAAAGAGAAATATGCAGTCTTTAAACAACTAAATTGTCATAGTTAATAAGTATATATATTTTAAAATGTTACATTGTTTGCCAATAGTAGTCATTTTCCTGCCAATATCATGATTGACAAAAACATTAAAAAACAAAACAAAACAATATTAATATAGTAATACTATATTAATAAATTGAAGCCACGAGCTACTACATTGAGAACACCAATTACTATATTGATGCCACGAATTAATATATTGAGGCCACAAGTTATGAGAAAGTTGATTTGTGGCCTCAATGTAGTAATGTGGGGCCTCGGTATATTATTTTGAGGCCACGCCTTATCAAAAAATAATCAACATGTCACCTTAGGGGCTGCGTACACAACAAAACAGAACAAAACCGGAAATGACGTACTCATTGGCGACTGATTCTAGAAACCGCACACAGCAAGAAAATAACCTTGTGATATAATTTCGTTTTTGTCTGGGCAGTGAAAAATATCGTGCTATAAATTTAAGGTCATTGCCCACTGCTGTTACTGCTCACCCTCTATTCATCGGTTTTTGAATTATTTTACAAGGCGGACAGTCTCTAAAATCAAAGCTAACTCACCGCATCACTCTTTCCTCTTTTCTTTTCCACAGCTGCTCGATCTCTTCTACCGAGGCGCCTCTGCTCAAACGATGGAGCAAAGACGTGGCTGGATGGCGCCCTCTAGTGGCTTCTAAGCGTAAAGCCAAGCGCTTCAACTCAAAACGGTCCAAGAGGAAAGACTCAACATTTAGGCTGTACAAAAAGTGTCTGAGGATGCACTCCAAGCTGCAGAAACACAACGCACCCAAGGAAAAACTCCAGGACCACGGCGGTGCAGCATCACAGCGACAAACTCTACAATACGCTCTGAACTAACAACATGCAACGACATACATGATTTCTCATTTGGTGTGCAGAAACTGAGCTCATTGCAAACTGCATATAAAAATTGTACACTGTGTACTCATGAATGTGAATGTTTGTATATATAATTTAAATATATATTTCTATAAAAAAACACTGTAAATATCTCTGCGTGTCTCATTCCATCGTTTTGATTCATGCACAGAGAAAAATATGACCAAGGACAGTTAAAGGGGAGGTCCACTGATCTTTCGAAATGAGTCAGTCGCTGAGATGTAGTCATTCAGAGTGGTTTGATGCAGATCGGTGTATTGTAGAGAAGCTTCGATATATTTACAGAGGTGGTGACAGGAGCCAGGGGTCACATCGCAAATGTAGCCATTTCATTTACTAAGTCTTTTGTGTTTTAACAATAAAGTAGTACTGGAAAATAAAAAAAAAGATCAATCAATTAATCACCTAATCAATACCACTGCAATTGCTTATCCGCAATGAATGGATGTTAAAAATGTGTTTCAGGTCAAAACCTTTTCTCAGAACTATTGCAAAACACTGTCTCAGGCATCAGTGTATAACTATTTCGTGCAGCTTTCTGTGAGGTTGTATTTAGGCACTTACGTCTGGTTCCCACTGTAAACAGTAAACAGAACTAAGCATTTCATATGAAATCACTCCGAAAGACTTCGTGTACATTTTACCTATTTTACAATGCAGAAATGTTCGAAAATGTGGTGGAGCGTCCCTTTAAAGAACCTCAGTAAGAGATTATGACTCCAACTGTATCACAGCATCACAGGCCTTTTGTAGTTCGAGACAACAGGTAATACTGAGTACCTGAGATGTGATGGAGGACCTTACACACACACACACACACACACACTCTTCTGCTCCAGTAGGTAACCTAACTCCATCCTGATGTCACGAATAGTAACTGAGCCCTTCACTGCAACCATACAATTGTGAACCGCCTCTACCGGGAGAGAGAAAGAGAGAGAGAGAGAGAGAGAGTGAGAGAGAGAGAGAGAGAGAGACAGAGAGAGAGGGAAAAAAATCCGCTACAAGAGGAAAAAACGCGAGAAAAGCGGATTTGACAACATGGCGTACTTTCCCCGGAATAACTTTTTTCTGAGGAGCTGCTGAGCGTTTCTGCACAGCTCTGCATGCCCTACTTTTCTCAGCTCGGTTCGAGCAGCCCAACAGCCAGAAAGTTTGAAGTGGCTAGCTAGGTTAACTCACATCGCGGCCTGTCCTTTTTTTCGTCGTTCTGGACGGAAACTTTATCATGGGCTGAAAGTTTCGAGTCGGCATTGTCGGAAAACTGAGCAGGACAGGATGGAGAAACAAGGGACGAGACGAGAAAAGGTAAAACGGCCACGGTGTGGAGAAGCGAGTATGTGTGGTGTCTTGTGACTTTAGCCATGCCTCGCATCTTTGCTTTGCTAACGGTTATCAGCTCAAGAGAAAGCGACCGTTTGTTAAAACCGTTTTACCTCTTCAGAAACGTCTACGGTGCCGAGTTTTGAGACTCACTTAAAAATTAGCTTCTTTGCTTTTCTCCATTTTCTTTTTTGGGTTGTTCGTGAATTGTGGACTGTTAGTTACTAAGCTACCGCCAGTTTAGTGCTCATGTCACAGCTTCTCTTGTTGAAAACAGGGTTTCACTACTACAGATACTAGTTAATGTCTTCTATCCTAGACTGACGAAATAAACAAAACATTTAAGGTTGGAGTTGTAACCGTTAGCAAATTTGAAGTTGGTCGGATTTTTTTTTGGGATTTTTAACTCTTTCCTGGTCTTGACTGAGAGGCCAAAGCGGACGATAGGGGCCCTTTTCACTCTTCACATAAATATAACACATAATATGTTCCTTCATAACCTTCATATCCTAGTACATTATGAACATGGAGCTGAAGAAAAATCAAAGAAAACAGCTCCACATCACAACACACTGACTAAGAGACAGGGCTGTCAGAGTGTCTGTGTCTGGCTTCTGTTTTGGCCGATTGTCTAATGGCAAGCCTGGTCCCTGTAGAGGAAGCGCCTCAGTGGTCTGGCATCAGCGCTGGAGCAGTTTAGCATGGAGATGTCCTCGTAACAGGTGCTGGATCTGGAACAAGATTCTGACAGAGCTTCACTGCAGCGGACCCCAACGTGGTTAGCCCAGACTGCCGACCAGGACATGCTTTGTGATGGTTCCATCCTTGCCAAAGAGCAGTGGTTGCACCTGTGTTTTCTTTTGCACTCGCACCTGGGAGGTTTTAAGTTATTTCCCTGAGGACATTAGGATGGTCTTGAGAATTGTTCCTGGGCCTTTTTCTTTACTATAGAACCCTTTAAGAAGCATATTTTTAACCCCTTAAGTTTTGTTACACATGTTGCATTTAAATCCCTTTAGTTACTGAATAATAAGCCTTTGTATGTAACAAGCCTGGCATGTTAAGTGGTTAAGAGCGTAAGTTTAATAGGCACAAGCCTTTCCTTTTTGGGATCCTTTTGTTGTAAAATAGACTGCTAAATCATAAAAGTGAGAAGTGTGAGTAACAAAAGAGAAAGACATTAGGCTTAACTCCAAAAAGGAATTAGGAGCTACACGTTAATTATTGCATTACAACTGAGGAAAAAGTAGATTCACAGATTTACTTCACTCATAGTAGTAGTTTAGTACGTAAGGTACACTCTTAGCAAAAAGGGTTCTAAAAAGGAACAAAAAAGGGTTCTTTTCAAGGCTTGTAACAACATTGGAACCCTTTCAAAATGGTTCGTTATAGAACCATCTGCAGTGCATTCTCCATCAGTCTGAAGAACCCTTTCACGATGCAGAGAACCAGCTGAATGGTGAAATACAGTACACTTCATCAAACCTTAAAACCGAAGATTGATAAGGTAGCAGATTAGAGGAACGATGCACAGAGGAAGTGGAGAGATTGAGGTCAGCCAAATGTGATTTTACTAGAAATCTGCTAAGCGATGACAAACAGGGTCAGTTAAGTGAGTCAACCAGAACTGTTCTGAAGGTTTGCTGAATCATATTTTGCTGGCAAGTTGTGGATGGCTGGCTTACTGCCGGTCATATGGCTGGAATCAAAAGTATCCACAGCATAACAACAGGAAGCAACCTCCAGTGATCCCATGAAAGGCATTTTCCCACCGTAACTGCCTTAAGACTTCACATCCTCCTAGCCAGTACAATAAAAATGTATAAGGGATGGAATTTTTATATAAAAACAACATTAAAATCAAATTGAATCAACTGATTCATTTAATGAGAGTCACTGAAAAAGGTTCAGCATGTTAATAAAGAAACCTGAGACTGAAGTAATCCTTAAATGCCTGTTGAGTTGCTTCTCTACAGTCCCTAACAAGAACCCTGATAACCACATTAATTAAATTAGGGCTATCATGATTAATCAATTACATTTGAGCAATAAAAATAATCAGTAAAAATATGCTTTATCAGTCATCGACAATGATTAGTTCGTATGATAATGTATGTTTTTGTTATCTTCCTAATCTCTCACGGTTAGAAGAAGCCTTATTGGCACCTGCATGTAAATGCATTTTTGTCACATAATGTTTTTATAGAACTTTTAATGAAGTATTTTAAAAGGCTTTTATTTTTGTGTTTTGCCAGTAAAGTATTTTGGAGTATTTGAAAGGCTACGCATAGTTATTGTTCAGCTAAGTCCATTTTTATTGTTTGATTGTTAAAAACTGTGGCTACTCGATTTCTCATCAAAATAACCAGTAGATTAGTTGATTACAAATATAACTGTTGCTGACAGCTATAATATCATCCATGGTCTAAAAAACATCCAGGGTCTGCTCTTTGTTATTTCTATTTGACCACTCATAAGAGGGACCACTCCTTGGATTTGGGAATTGGCCAAAGAGCATCCAGAAAGCAGCTGTTGCACAGACATACCGCAACATGCTGAAGCCCTAGGGCTTCCACCGAAGGGGGCATCTACTTCTCCATCGGCTGCTTGATGCCTCCATGGCCTGCCAAAGGAGAGGCTTGTTTTCATTTTCCCAGGAATGCGCCGCGGCCCCCTGACCCGAGCGAAGCCGAGGGGGTAGGAGCAGGAAAGGAAGCCAACAGCCCCAAGGTTGGGCCACGGAGGTGGAGGCACTGCCTACTTGCGCAAATGGAAACGAATGTTAGTTTGAGCGGGCATGGGGACACAATAGGTTCGGACTGTTCCCTGTCGGCAGGGTCTCACTGTGTTTGTTCTGCTGGACCGGGCCCAAAAAGCAGGTTGAAAATTCCTTCTTTATGAGCTGAGGCCCGGAGTATTATTGGAAAGAGTCTGCAGTTTGACTTAGAGCCTCGCTCAGCTGTTTGAAGTGGAGGAGGACAGAGAGGACAGCGATTAAAGAGAAGTAGAACAGTGCAGAAAAGAACGCAGCGTGTTACATCTCCACCTAGGCAGCTAGGCAACCAAATATTCTTTGGCTGACCTTCTGTGGTTCACGATAACAAAAATGTTCATGAAATGTTTTATGGCAGGTCAGCTAACAGGTGTTTGACAAGTGAAATAAAATATCTCTCTGTAAACATGTTATGGGCCAGGAATCTACAAGAAAGATTTGAATTAGCCTGTTCATCTGTTGCTTGTTGTGTCTGTGGGAAGTTTACAGCTGTTATATTTGGATCACCGAGTGGAGTTCGTGTTCTACACGTGTGGTGCGTGTTTGTGCTTGTGGTGGGTCCGCGCATACCCACTGTGATGTATACTTATCTGCATCTGGGGTGTGTGCGTACTAGTGTGTATGCATGCTGCTGCAGCTTGAGGTTTGCACTCTGTTGCTTCAGCTGAGGAGGGCTCCCGTCTCCCGTCTCCCTCCCTGAACTGGTGTGCCCAAATTTGTCTTTTCAGAATTACCTCCACCAAGACTCTGATTAAGTCTGCCTGCGCGTCCCATGCGGTCAGCGGCCAACAGAAACACACCCAACACTGTTATCTGTGCCTGCCCCTGGATAATGCTACTTCAGACAGGCTGCACGTGCAAACTGGTTCAAACTTCACTGTGGCGTTGAATAATAAAATTCAGTTCTATAATAAGAATGGCCATATTTGAGCTAGATTAGTTTTCACTGGAGATGTACCGTAATTTATAGAAATGGTTCAGTGAAAAATCAAATCTACACAATATTCCACTTACCTCTATATGTAGTCGATCAGTCAAGGCATGTCGCTGGAGCTGGAGCTACAAGGCTAATGTTGTCAACAAACACCAGAAGTCAAGAGTCTCTCAACTCTTCCATAAATGCATACTGTGAACTATACACATGAACAGAACTTCACAGTGTAGCGGTGGTTACCTAGCATGTTCAGCTACACAGTGAACATGTTTTGTTCATATTTACAGTTCACCTTAAGTCATACTGTGTCCTAAACCAAATCAACAAGTCTGCAGAACCTTAAGGAAGACCTGTGTGTGGTTTGAGTGGGTTGAAAAAATTTTGGACATGTATTCACAAAAAATATTGGGGTGACTATTGACTAGTCCAGTCCACCTCACAGTGATATAGTACTAAAACCTGCTAATAGACACAGCAGTATGGTGTGTTGTAATTGTGGCTTCTGTCTCTTAAGACTGACGTGAACATCTGGGCTATGACATTTCAGTCCAAGCAGTCTGTGCTAATTTGTTGAAATTAACACAATTACTTAACTACTTTATCCTGTACAAACCCCTTTGAAATTACATTACAGAAGCTCTTCTGGTAAAACTAATCCAGACCCAGTGGGGCCTTAGTCACATACAGGTTATCAGTCAAAGTAACTTGAATTTTCATCCCTTTAATCCTAGAGGTTCACACATTGGCCCATATTTCCATTCTTTTCATAATTACATGCCTCATAACTACATAACTTGGAGATTAGTTTGATAGTAGTTACTAAATTATTCATGTCATGTTACTAAATAATAAGCCTGGGGTTAACTTGGTCTCTATATTTCTCATATGAAAACAAAGTAAATACTTCACAACAAAACAAAATGTAACTGCGCCAACAAATGTGCAACTCTGCAGCTTACGCTATTCTTCTTTCTTTCTGCTTTGATTTGCCCTTTTTTTTAAGGGGGGGGGTGATGCAATTACTTTCAAAACACTTTTGCCTTCTTCTGCCTCTTATCTCTCTGCCTGCCCTCAGTCTATGCACTGTTGTCTCTCCTCCCTTCTTTTCCCTTCTATCCTTGCCCTGACAGTTCTTTGCTTTTTGTTTTCGACTCGATCCTTTATTCTCTATTCTGTCTGTTTTGCTGTCTTGCTCTTTGTGGCATGCAGGAGCCCAAATTCAGCTCTCTATCTGCCCTTTCCCGTTCCCCACTCAGCTTCTTCAGGCTTTCTCACTTTAACCCTTAAAAGGTGCAGTTATCACTAGCAATAACAAATGCTTGGTGTAATTCTATGGAAGTTTAATGGGAAATGTGGATTGGATACTTTCAATTAACAGCACATTTGTATTTGAATGTATTTTATTATACATTGAATTCAGTGGAATATTATTGTTGTGCATACAGTTTTCAGAACTAACACTTTAGTCTTTACTTGACTTCGAAACAAAGAGATGAGGTCAAAAGTGCAGAATTGAACCTGTCAGTACAGAATGTGAATGTAATTTGTTGTATAACACATTAAGTAATTAAACATATACTTATATAATTGCATTGAGATAGCAAAGTGAAAGTAACAGCTCTGAATTTCTAAGGGTTAACTGAGGTTCTCAGACACCCCCCTTCCTTTTCTCTTTTCTGTATTTCTTTCGGCCTCTTCTCTCTCATTCGTCCCCTAGCTGCAGCTCCAGCTCTCCTTCGTCCTTCCTCTCTCTCTTTCTCTGGAAGTAATTACCCTGCTGCGCTATCCCAGAGTTCCTTTGGAGGAGGGGTGTGGCCTGTGCCAGAGATTACAGGAGAGCAGAGGTGGGGAGTGGCTCTCTGCTCCTGCCCTCTCTCTCTCTCTCTCTCTCTCTCTCTCTCTCTCTCTCTCTCTTTCCCTCGCTCTTCACCCCTCGCTCCGTCCCTCCCTGCTCTTGGGGATGCTCCAGATGTGAAGCTCTGAGGTGGCTACCCATAAATTTCCTGCATACTCTTAAGTCAGCAGCAGCCACTGCTGTGTTCTTACCCGAGGAGTTGGCCTCCTGGCCAAAAAAGCAGAGCAGAGCCTTCCAGCAGTATTGTCCTGATGTTAAAGCTCTGTTTTCCTTTTTGTAATTTTTTTTTACCCCCTCAATGCAGCTGCTCCCCTCCTTTCATGCGTAGAAAGAAATGACTCACAAAACTCTCGTGTTCAGCTACATTGAAAAATTTGAGGTCCGTAAGTTTATATGTAAAGACACTAATGCTGAGTAATGTGGAAAAGTAATAAACATAATAATTGAGGTAATAAAAAGGTACAGCCTCAATAATCTTGATAATGCTATCTTGATATCGCTATCTTGATAACAATAAATGTAATGATAATTATACAGTCAAAACGATCATAATACAGTGAATACATTAAAGCATCACTAGGGTCATGACAGAAACATGCTGGTTGCTACCTGGGCTTTTCTGGCCATAAGATTTTCAGTCTCTTTAGTATTACTGCTTATATGTGTTGAAAATATGAGAAAATAAATCTTAAATGTTAAAATCGCGTTGTGTCTGTGTTTGCAGATTACCTAACTCATTGTTCTACATCATTTGACTCTTGAGTGATTTTGGCATTTTGTTTCGTTCCATTTATTACATTTTTCCCATTTTTATCTGTCTTTTTAAAATAGGAGTTTGTATCCTTGATACCTCTCTCTCTCACACTCTATTTTTATATATATATATATGTGTGTGTGTCTGTGTGTGTGCGTGTGTGTGTGTGTGTATATATATATATATATATATGTATATGGTCTGTATATGGTCATATCTGGGAAGGGAAAAATCTGGTTACTGTCTATTCTGCGTCCACTGACAGTCATCTTGCATGTTGTCTCCTTTGGGCAGTTTTCACTGTTTGGGCCACGGTCACTGGGGAGGGCGGTGCACGCAGTAGCTGAGGGGCCTGGCCTGAGCAAGGCCGAGTTCATGGAGAAGGTGCGGCGGAGCAACGAGGCGTGCCAGCTGGGTGACTTCCAGACAGCCGTGAAGCTGTATGGAGAGGCCCTGCGGGCCGACCCACAAAACTGCATCCTTTACAGCAACCGCTCGGCTGCCCACCTCAAACTTGGCCAGTACCAGACCGCCCTGGATGATGCAGTCAAGGCACGCCTGCTAAACCCCAAATGGCCTAAGGTAGGAGGGAGATATGTAGTCATGTGGCTTGTTTGTTGACTTTTCGTTTCTGTATTATTGCATGCAGAATAGCACACACAATTTAACTGCAGCATAATCCACATGCAATTGCGTCCATTTGTGAAAGTACGTGCTTCGTTCTGTGAAGACATTGATGGTACATATGACTTGAAAGAGCTTCTAACGGCATTTTTCATGCTTGGGCTGCGTACTACATACAGTCCACACCTAAGATTGATTTCTGGGCTTGATTGGGGAAGCCCTTGATTATCACAAGTTTGTTTTCAAATCAAACATGATTCTCTAGACCAGGGGTATTTAATAAAATTTAATAAGGCCCAGTTAGAGAAAATTTCCTCAAGCAAAGGTCCGGAACATAATAATGTCCAACTTGCATCATGACTCAGTGCCATACACTGTATACTGAAGTAGCCTAGTAGGTATATCAACATCTTATACAGTCAACAACTGAATGTCAAATCAAATAAAGTACAATTCAGTCATATTTCAACAACATTTATTGTTGTTTTCTCTTTTTAGAGAACACCATGTGAAATAACTTCCCTCTGACTCACTTTCTTCTCTGACTGCTGTGTCTCGCCTCGTCCCTCCCCTGTGTGTGTGTCACTCACTTGAGTCTCAGTGCTCATCGTAATGCACAGATCTGATTGGCCAGTAGCGTCACGTGTGATATTTACAACGCATGCAATTGGTCTGTGAGTCTCTCGGGCCGCTAAAGTGGCACCGTAAAGCGACACCGTAAAGGCTAGAAATGTTACGCCGATTAAAATAGGACCACCCGTCAAAATAAAAGAATTCTCCATAGTGTATCGGTTATAGGTCCAGGTCCGCATAGGACAGCGTCTGGGTCCGGACTTGGACCGCGGTTTGCCTATTAGTGACCTCTGCTCTAGACAATAAGTGCATCTCTTTATTGTTGTCTGTTTAAAGGAAATTAGAGATTTGTTTCTGAATGCATTATACATGTTATAAAGTTGCATTGCATTAGCATCAGTGGTTCTCCTGCTTGATTGCAGCATATGTTTTGTTTGATGTTATTGATAGCCTAACTTTATTTGGCTAGATTATGCTAGTCAGTAATACCTACAGCTAACTTGCATAAATGGGAGAAAAAAATTACCATTCTGTTGCAGGACTAAGAGGAACAAGGTTGATTCTCAGGTAGGTCAGTGTCATCTGGCTCCGAATGGGATTCTGGCTTTACATGGACTTTAAGGTTCCTTTGGTCCCAATACCAACACCATGTACAGCACTTATTGGTGGGTTCTCTTGTAGGATTACCTGTGATCAGTGTGGCCTTCTCATTTGTGTAGTCCTTACTTGAGTTTGCTTGGAGCAAATCCCAGACCACAGCTTTCAGGTGGGCCAGAGATCGCTTTTATGGTCCACACTTGGGTTTAAAAACAGCTGGACTAAAGGAAAAAAAGCCTAAATTACGACTCACTTATAGGCTGTATTTATGCTTGCATTAATATCCCATCACTCTGATCCCATTGTGGTAATCGGATCATCTTCCAATCAAGACACAGCACATTTCCTCCTGCCCTTTTTTAAATGTATAATCTGCATCCAGGTATTGATTGGATCTCGTTTCCCCACACAGTATTTACATTTTTAAATCTGGCTAGGATGGCTGGTATAGCTGTGGGCTATGTTGTGTTTTAAAGCTCTATTAAACATTTTGAAATTGTGGTGCAGAGCGTTCCAGGCATTTTAAGTTGCATAGAAAGAAAAGCCAGCAAGTTATGTACTTTTTGTACAATGCCAATGGCAACCTCAAGAGCAACAGCTGTTGTCACAGCTGCTTCTTTTCTGACTTGTTAACTTTCAAAGTGTGTACCCTTCACTTCCTCATTTCATTGTCATCAGAGGACATGCACTGATCCAGCTTGAAATGTACAGTGGAAAACACTATGGCAGCAGTGTACATGTAACTAACAAACCTCTCCAGCTTCAGGAACTATAAGGTTAAGGCAGGAAGGAGATTGAGAGGCCCTTGCCAAAAATGAAACTCAAAGGCTCTTTATAAACTCACCATCTTGAAGAAAAGAGCATTAATAATCACATGCTAAGACTAGATTAGCCTGTATAGAATGAAATGGGTTTGTGGTTTGTGGTGACTTAATGATACACAGCATCTGCTTTGTGTGGCTTCCATCCAGGTCAAGGAGCCCAAGCTTTTTACTTCATATGTATATTTGATGGAGTATTAGTTCTCAAGTTATGAGTGGGTCGAAGTTAAATAAACTGTAGTAGTACACATAAATTGCACCATAGGTTTGCTTTTATATTGCATATTGATTTATGCTGCACTCAAATGCATCCCATACAAGTGGACACATTTGAGTATAGTATAGATCTCTTTATCAGTTAAGGTGCAATCAGCTAAATGCATTGTAAAGATTGGGCACTCCACTGAGACATTGAGTAGTACCTTAGTTTGGTCTCTCCCTGACCACATGATCTTCTTCCTGGCCCAGATCTCATGTGACTAAATCCAAACCCAGAGAGGAACGTTAAACCCCAGCCCATGAGCTGCCAGTCATCTTCTGTCTGTGATCCCCATTCGCTGCACAAGGCCAGGGAGGCAGAACCGGGCAATTGCCATAAAGGAAGAGGCCAGAATGATTGGTTCTGTGCCAGCAATATATAGTGTTATCTGTGAGTGCATTTTCTTCGATTCCTTGATTCCTTGGAAAAATCAGGGCCCTGTGGACTGAGTATTAAGACCAATCAGTGGCACAAGATGGGGTAGGCCGTGGTCTGAGGCTAAGCACAGAAAGCTTTTGTAGGAGTAACTGTGGAGCCTTTTCCCACTACCAGAGCACTCTCGGAAAGAGCCAAGCTCTGCTTCCTTTTAGAGTAGAATAGGAGGAAGCAGTGGGTGTGGGGCAGCACTGCTATTTTGTTGTGGAAGCCGAAGCCCTGGACGAGCTTACCAGCAAACTAGCACTGTGAGGACAATAACGGCAGCGGCAGCAACATTCCTCTGCTTTTTACTGCCTTTAAGAGCTGGATGGGGTTTGAGTTCTTGCTCAACACAGCACATTCACAAGTGTTTGGCTGTGTGATTTTCAGCATTTATGTCCAGAAACTGTCAGTCAAAGAACTGAGATTGCTTGTGAAATATCTTTCAGGGCTATTTTACATTATGAAAGGTAACCATTTCAGTAACTTGTTCTGAATTCTAGTTAATGTCTTTCTGAAAAACAGTGTAACACTAAGGAGAAGGGAAAAACTGCCACTGAAAGAGTACACTAGAATGAGCAGGACAGAATGGCAGTGCCCTTGCTTTCGTTTAAGGGCTCTGTTTGTCTCCACTCTGTCACTCATGCTGACACTTTTCAAGCCTTAGAGAAAGAGGTTATGTAAAGTGATGAATGTGAAGAGGGCGCAAAAGAGTGCAGACAAACAGGACTTCATCAGAATGCTGCAGGAGAGCTGTACACTGCAGAAAATGGTATCTTACAACTAGTTGATATAACTAATATTTCTCATTTTGAGATTGTTGCAAGATTGCAAGATTTATCATTTACTTGCTGTTTTTATTTTTGAACAAATCAACTTTTCTGTTTCTGTAGTTTCTATTCGTTTATCTATTGCTGTCAGCATTTACATGGTTTGGTGTGGGGCATGTTTGCCTATATGACATCATTGGCTAAAGATTTCTGCATTAAACACTAAGTTTAAGACTGGCATGAAAAAAGCTGTCACATTTGTGATTTTATGACTTTTATGACTTATTATATACAGATTTCAGTTGTTAACGCACACAACTTCATCATTCTGAAAGCATCCTAAAATAGATTTAGCATCATCCTGCACACTTTTTTACACTCCCCTGGACAACATAACAGTCTTAGTCTGGAGCATTCCCATTTTAGTATTGCATCTCTAACTTAAGTGTGTCATTAATTTTATGGCATATACCTAACATCACTGAAATGTTTGTGTCCATGAGAAGTTCTGCTTTCTAAAAGGTAGTCACACCTTATATTTACTAGTCTGATGTTAGCCACTTGGGATAGTTAGTTAAAAGCACTTACCCACTATCGGTAATAGCGAAGAATGTGTTGGAACTCGTGCTTTACATTCATTTGCGTTATTGTTGTGCTGCTATAAAATGCTATCCACACCTTACATATCGTGTCACATTACTGTGAATTTCGTGGGTCTTGCTTTCTTAATTTCGTCTCTCTTTGCTGCCACCACTGTTTAATGTTCTGCCTCTTATGATGGAGAGAACGTCAGAAGCCATATTGACCCCATGTATTTAAAGTTTATTGAAATCTATAGACATAAGCACACATGAATTGACGATGACAAATCCACATCGACAATTTAGACTTTGAGTCTGTGGCTAATCGCTGCAGCCCTAATTGTACGTTTTTACAGTACATTTTTGTCGTTGAATAACAAGTTATAGGACAGATACAATGCACTCTCACAAGAATAAACTATTTCACAATGAACTGGAGGAAGAAGGAAAAAATGGTTAAAAGAAAAAATACATGAAAACTGATGGTAGGCATTAAATCCAAGCAGCTATTGGTTACACCTGCAGTATGCTTAGAAAAGTGCATCTTGACGTTGTTTCTTGCAGTGACAATGATATATCGTTACACCGCCCAATGTTAAAGTGACCCCTTGTGGTTAAAGCCACTTTGTTTACACCATGTTTATGGTCTGCATGCATTTATTCTTAGCAACTTACTCACACCAGCATGAGCCAGTTTCCATGAGCCAAATGAGACAAGTTTTTCATTCTGTTGTTTCCAAAACAAATAATATAAACAAAGCCATTAAAGTTTTCAAAACTCTTTCTTCATGTGGCTGACTATTGCATGCTTACAAGCCTTGTATGTGAAAAGGAGGGCTAGGGGGCAGGATACTTCCAATCCAGCATCAGGCTCATCTCTGTGCAATTTCAAAGTCACAAAGTACACCAAAAAATACAGTTTGTTTATTTGTTGTGCCTG